AATGAGTTCAAGGGAAGCATACCTCGACATATATGTCACCTTAACCGAATTCAAATTGTGGACCTCTCCCATAATCGTTTATCAGGAAGCATACCACACTGTTTTCACAATTTTACTGCCTTGGTGGAAAGTAAGAGTTCGAGAGCAACCATTTCTTCTTCTTATATGACATTTTATGGCTCTTATTATCAAGGTGGCAGCTATATTGAGAATGTATTGGTGCTGTGGAAAGGACAAGAGTCGGAATACAAAAGTACTTTGGGACTACTAAAAAGCATTGACCTTTCAAGCAATGAACTTGTTGGGAAAATTCCTAAACAAGTTGGGAGTCTTGCGGGGTTGGTTTCTTTGAATCTATCAAGAAACAATTTGACAGGAAATATCATCCAAGTAGGTCGGATGAAAATGTTGGAATCTCTTGACTTGTCTGCAAATGAGCTTTTTGGCATGATTCCGGCCAGCCTCGCTGATCTAAATTTTCTCAGTGTGTTGAATTTGTCAGATAACAGGCTGGCGGGAAAAATCCCAATAAGCACTCAATTGCAAAGCTTTGATCCCTCTGTATACTCGGGAAACCTTGAACTTTGTGGACTTCCACTTCCAAATAAGTGTCCAGGAGAAGAAATAGTTGTGGAACCTGTTCTTGTTTGTGGCAAAGACAAAAGGATTCGAGAAGATGATGACAAGTTTATTACCACTGGATTTTATGTTAGTATGGGGCTGGGTTTCACGTTTGGGTTTTGGACAGTTTTTGGGACCATGATTTTTAACAAACCATCTAGACACTTATTTTGAGTTCTTGGACATCATAAAGAGTTGGTTTTATGTAACAACTTCATTGAATATGGTTAGATTGCAAAGGAATTTTCAGAGGTAAATGGTAAGTATCTTTTTTCAATTTTGTTACTTCTCTTATCTTTTTGTGTCTTGATCATTGCTAACAAGTCGGACATTATTTATTTGTTTATTTATTTTTTTCAAATCCTACATAAGCTGATTTAAGCACACACTTGCTATTTGCTTGAACTTGTGGTTTTTCTCATGTCTATTTTCTAATTATAATACACATGTGCAGGTCTATGTTGCTATCTTCAGCCCATTGGTCTCAAGATCTATCTATATGGTAACTTTTATTGCCACCGTAATTTTTAACCAAGCAATGGCTTGACATCCACTGTTTGTTTAGTTGTCATTGATATATAAAATGGTCCAAAAATTAGCTTTAACTTCTGATCGATGATGATGTTCTCTGCCATTGCAAACCTAGCAAAAACACTATAGTTGTGCCGCATTTATGCAATGATACTGAATTAATCCCCTATTTATGAACTATATTGATTGCCGGCCAATATTTAGTTATCTTTAATTTAACTGATAATCAAATTTTTTTTTTGTTGTTGTTTCCATTTTTTGCTATGTTTTGCAAGGAAGTTATGCTACACCTGAGTGAGACACGAGCAGCGAGTTCAGAGTATATGAAGCAAAGCTATCAGCACCAACCGTTCTCTATGTATTCTTGAAACGTTGAAATAACTTCATAAATAGTTATTTTCATTTGTAATTATGCTGTCAATTGTATGTTTGGAAGGATTGTGTGTTTGTTTTTGCCATCCAATGTGTGTTTGGGACGATTGCAATCAAGTGTTTGTAATTATCTATTTAATTTTATAAATTATTGATCATGATTATTTACAGTGACCTGCTTGCTATATGAAAAAATAGATTATGTTGGAGCTCTCTTAGTTTGGAAATTGAATTTTTTAATAATTTTTTAACCTTTTAATTAAAATATGAAGTGAAAAAAAAATTAAAGTGGTAAGAATATTTTTTAGTTTTTTACAACACAAATCTACAAAAAGTAGAGAAATAATGAAAATAAATTTTTGACTAAACTATGTGACTTTTTAGTGTCTTTTTGACTATATTAACTAATTTCCCACACGCACGAGATGAATCTGTTTTACTTTCAAGAAATTAATCTAAAGAAAATGCTTGAAATTTGTTTATTTGATTTTTTTACTTGTATTTTATGTGGGTGGATAATCCTTTGATAATGTATTTTTGGAAGTTCAATTCATATTTTAATAAAGGGTAAAATTAAAATAAAATATATTAAAAATTTACAAATTTTTTTGATGGCGAATCACGGAGTTTTGCGATGCCGGAGACTGGATTGATTGATTGATTGCCTCCGCGGTCGATGCCCTCTCCGCGGTGGCGCTGGTGGTGTTTTTAGTCGGAGAAACGGGAAGAGGCGGTGGTGGTTTGGAATCTCATCACTAATTCGGTGATTATAAGTATTTTCATGTCCTCTTTGAATTATTATAATTGTTGCACAATTTTAGCTGGAGCCTCATCATGTGCAAATATAGTGTCATGATAATATGTAAATAATAGTAAGGATTTTCCTCTCTTTAATAATTTAAATATTTAGATGAATTCATGATATGTGATGTTTAATAACTTAATCCAATACTTGAAATAAATTAAGTTTGTTTGATTAACATAATTTCTGTCATTTAAAATTTTGCGCACCTCTTAAAAACATGTTAAAATTAGGGTGTATCGCCATCACCTTACTAGTACCGCCACCATTGCCACCATGATAAAGTTCTAGAGACAGATTATGGGTGTTTGAGAGTTATATACTAGAAGAGATAGATTTTTTTAAGAAAAAAATGGGTGTTGAAACACAACTTTTGGTTCTGTCTGCAAACTCTACTTCCAGCTTCCCCACTATCAAGTATCTCTACTTGAGATTTGATTTGAGTAATAGGATTACAGTAAACGGTTTCCTGCTTAGATAATGTAACACCCTGTCCCACATCGGAAGTTTGCATGGGTGATCTTGGGCATATATAGCACCACTACCTTGCTACTAAATAACTTGGACTTAAGCTTTTGGGTATTGTTGGTCGACCCACAAGTTATTTGGGCCAGCAAGTAGTGGGGCGTTACAAATGGTATCAGAGCCGACCCATGCACACAACCATGTGGGCCACTTATTCTGGGCTGGCCACGAGCTTGTCGTGGTATTCTGATTGATTATAGACCCTCGCGAGGACGCGAGGATTTATAAGTGGGGGAGTTTGTAACACCCTGTCCCACATTGGAAGTTTGCATGAGTGATCTTGGGCATATATAGCACCACTACCTTGCTACTAAATAACTTGGACTTAAGCTTTTGGGTATTGTTGGTCGACCCACAAGTTATTTGGGCCAGCAAGTAGTGGGGCGTTACAGATAAACCATCCAAGGAGGCAGAGTTGTTGGGGTTGTTGATGGAGTTTAGGGAGGTGTTGCCATATCAGTCTTTCTTGTTTGGTGGTAGGTTATAGCCTGCAGCTATTGATTTGGAAATTGAAGAAAAAGAAAATTAATCTATCTGTGTTTGCAATCATCTGCTCTTAAATTTCCCGAGGTTGGTGAGATACGTCCTCCTGCAGGGAAGTTTGGAAGAAGATTTTTTTTCGCAGATAGAGGAGTGACACATTTGGAAGAATTGATGAGTACCTTTTTTGGGCAGTGGTGTCATGTGTCCCTTTTCTAGGCTTTGGGGTTGATCATTTGAATCTCTTTCTTTTGGTCCTTAAAAATTCTTCATTATAATTAAATTGCAATCTTGAGTAGCATGTGAATTTGCAGAGATTAATCCAATATCCTCAGGTTTCTGGCCTTAAACCTGATTTACATTTTAGTGGAAAAGAGAGCATCACTGTATACTCATGCGGTCGTAGCACTGAGGCTCTTAAAATGGCTGAAGAAGTGATAGATGCTGTTGAATTGGCTACAGATTCTGGAGGTCACCCCATGTGAAAGGGGTGATTCCTATGTCAACCATGGAGCCCCAACCTCATGTCAAACAATGGAAGGCACAACCATGTCAAAATGTCAAAGAATGAGGGCTTCCAACCTACTCCTGTTGTGTAATAAGATAGAGACGGAGGGAGAGATATAGATATAGATGGTGGAGCTGAGAGGTGGTGAGTTGAAGCAAAGAGAGAGAGCGAATTTACAGAGAGTGTGTGTAATTCACCAATTTTGTTCAATTATAGTGATCCGCTGCCCGTGGAATCGTAGGCGACTTGCCCGAACCACGTTAAATAACTTGTGTGGTTATTGATTGTTGAGGTTACCCTTGTGTGGCCCCCGATCCGTCAACAATTGTATCAGAGCTCGGGTTGGCGAAAAATCGAATTTTTCCCGAAAGTGCCAGTTTCGAAGTGCTCAAATCCATTTTTGACATACCAGGAGGAAGAATCCCCCGCGAGGAGTGCCAAGAACAGCAAAATACAGAGGCCCAAGTAAGCCTTCACACCGCCTCACGACGCCTCTCTGAAAAAGCGCGTCAGCCCAGTCACCACGCGCCACCGCCCGTCAGGCAACCGGCGCGTGATCCAGTCTCATCCACGCGAGCCCAAGCGCGCGTCTCTCAGGGAGAGAGACGAGCACGTGGCGCACGTCAGTGCCAGCGTCATCGCCACGTTTCATCGCCACGTCATCGCCACGCGTCCGACAGTCAGTGCCACGTGTCAGCCACGCTGTAGCCAAACGTGTCCAGCCCCAGTCAGCCTGAGCCGCTGACCAGGCGGTTGGACCAGCGTCAAGCCGTTTGACCCCGCGATCTCCGTTACCGCGCCGCCTGCGCCGTTGACCGACCGTTGACCAAAGTCCGTTGCGGGAGAAATTATCCGGTGCAGCTCAGGCACTCAGATTCTGCAGATCTGACCGTCCAAATATTTTTGGGCCAGATCGGAGCCCCATGCGGGAGCCGGTTTTTGACGATCCAATAGTGCTTCCCAACCTATTTGGAGTATTCGGACACATTGTGACTGGTCAGTTTTTTTGAATTGAAGTTTCTAAAAATGGCAGAAGTCTAGGCAGCATCCCGAGTCCGTAAGTAATCCAGCCCAGTAAAGCCTTCTAGGCATTGGCCGTGTCCATGCCAGGGAGTTCCCGAGGTAGAGAAGTAGATTGGAAGCAGCAACTTCGCATGTGTGAGATGCGAAGTTAAGGATATGCCTTTGTCCAAGTGAAACCTTGCACTTCACTTTGGGAGACAAACCAGATGACAATGGACGAGATAGAATGGAGATGGTGAACTTCCTGGCCTGTAGTTTCATCCGACTTTGGCCTTGCAAAAAGAGGAGAAGTTACTGCTTACAGATATGAACTTATCTTCCAGCGCCTTCCAAAGCTTCTTCGCAATATCATATTCTGTAAAGGCATACTTCTCCTCTTTTGCAAGGCAAAGTCGGATGGAACTACAGGCCAGGAGATTCACCCTCTCCCATTCTATCTCGTCCATGTCATCTGGTTTGTCTCCCAAAGTGAAGTGCAGGTTCTTTGGACAAGCATATCCTTAACTTCGCATCTCCAACATGCCGAAGTTGCTGCTTCCATCGAACTTCTCTACCTCGAACTTGGCATGGGACACCGGGGTCCAATGCCTAGAAGTGCTTGTACTGGCTGGATTACTTACGGACTCGATGCTCTAGATTCTGCATTTTTTAAGAAACTTCAATTCAAAAAACTGACAGTACAGATGTGTCCGGAATACTCCAAATAGTTGGGAAGCACTAATTGGATCGTCAAAACCGGACTCCGAATGGCTCCGATCTGGCAAAAAATACTTTGGACGGGTCAGATCTGCAGAAATCTGGTGCGCTGAGATGCAACCGGATAATTTCTCCCGTCAACGGCTGGTCAACGGCTCGGTCAACGGCGCAGGCGGCGCGGTCAACGGAGGATTGGCGGCGCGGTCAAACGGCTTGACGGCTGGTCAACGCGCTGGTCAGCGGCTCAGGCTGACTGGGCTGACACGTGGCTGACACGTGGCTGACACGTGGCCTGACTGTCGGACGTGGCGATGACGTGGCGGATGACGTGGCGATGACGCGGCACTGACGTGGCGCCACGTGGCTCGTCTTCTCCCTGGAGACGCGCGTGTGCGCGTGGATGAGACTGGGATCACGCGCCGGTTGCCTGAACGGCGCGGGTGGCGCGTGGTGCACTGGGGCTGACGCGCTTTGTTCAGAGAGCGCGTGAGGGCGCGTGTGAGCTTCTGGGCTCTGTTTTTTGCTGTTTTGGACTCCTCTCTGCGGGAGTTCTTCCTCCTGGTATGGTCAAAGTGGATTTTGAGCACTTGAGAAATCTGGGCACTTTCGGGAAAATTCGATTTTTCGCAACCCGAGCTCTGATACCAATGTGTTGAGGATCGGGGGGCAACACCAGGGAACTCAAACAATCAATAACACACAAGTTTTAACGTGGTTCGGCAAAGTCCGCCTACGTCCACGGGCAGCGGATTCACTATATTGAACAAAAATGGTGAATTTACAACACTCTCTGTAATTCTCTCTCTCTTTGCTCTCAACTCACACGCTCGCTCCACATCTGATATCTATATCCTCTCCCTCCGTCTTATTTATACACAAAGGTAGGTGGGAGAGCCCTCATTCTTTGACTTTTGACATGGTTGGTGGGCCTTCCATTTGTTGACATGAGGTTGGTGGCCTTCCATTGTTGACATGAGAGATCACCCTTTCACTATGGGGTGACCTCAGAAT